CGGGTTTTTATGGAACTTTAATCGAAAGATGCGCAAAAAATTTTAAAATTAAACGTGATAAAATCCGTAATATTAGTTTTATTCCATGTGTAGTATAATACATCATTATAAAACTGCATTTATGAAATTTTGAAGTCTACTCGAACGTAAAAAAATATCTACATCTATTTTATGGTGCCAATCAATATTAAATAGGACCAATGATATGAATAAAATATCTCAAATAAACATTATACCGTAAATTGATAAAAGACCATGAAGTTCATCATTATTTTGTTAAAACTAAATTAACTTTAATTATGAATGATTGTAAAGATTAAAATGTAAATAATAATAATAAATTTTGATTCCAAGACTATTTACCTTTCTTAGTACCTAGACATATTATATATTCACGTGTACCTGTAGCAAATTATATCTATGCCAAATACCAATCATCTACGTCTAATAGTCTTTTAGAGTTCAAAAAAAAATTTACAGACATAGAGACAGACACCGAGGTGGCTCTAAAAGTGATCGAATTTGGCTAAATTTGGCACGAAACCGCATTCAATGATGTTCCTAAATTCAAGCTCACGCGAGCGAAGCCGCTTGTAAAAAGCTAGTTAAAAATGTAATAATAAATATCAAAATTCACATTTTTGATTTCTTCAAAAATTTAGCCTGTCGCATGTCTTAAAGCGGGGGTGCAAAGTTGGTATAAAAATATTGTACTAAGACGCATATCCCAAAAAGCTGGAGCTAGCCTTTTATGACGTAGGCATCCACTAAGAAAGAATTTTGGAAAATTCAACCTTTAAGAGGAAGCAATAGCGTGTTAGAGTTTTTATAAAACTTTTTATTTTACGGGGCGATAATCCGTAAATAAAATAAATAAAAACGTATTTCGGGATTTTTCAAAACTACGTGAGGCCATAAGGTGTTCAAACTTGTATTGAGAAAAATTCATTAATGTATTTTTAATTTATAAACTGGAGCAAATACTCTTGATTAAAAATAATAAAGCACCCATTTTCAATTTTTCTCAAAAATTTACCCTTTAGGTTTTTAAACGCGGGTGCAGTTGGTATGAAAAATATTTTATTAAGACGCTATGTTATTCGATAGCTTAAAGTGTTGATTTGTAATATTAATATTACTGCAATTTTTTTCCTAGACTGATAATTAAGAGAATAAAAAATATTAAAGTATAAATTAATAGGAAAAAAGTTATAGCGTTTTTAACACATCTATCAGGACACATCCTGACAATTAAGTTCCGATTTATGAAACTGCTCGGAATGTGATACGAGTAGAGAATGTGTGAAAATTTTATAAATTGAGATAATCATCATAAGTAAATTATTTTAGCAGTTTTCTCATATTACAAAAAAAACTCAAGCAGTTATGAAAATATAAAGCCTAGATCAGTCTTAGCATTGCTCTCTTTCTATTCGTAAAGGTTCATCACAATATACCGACGGTTGAAACAGACATAAGAAATTTAAAAAAAAAAGGTCATTAATGTATAAATAGCATACAAATAACGCTCTCAGAGCATTTTTTTATTTCAATATTATAGACTGAAACTTTATTTTATTTATATGTATTGAATCTTTTTTTTTTATAGATAAGGGTGACAAACGAGCACACAGTCCATCTGATGGTAAGTGGTCGCTGTGGCCCATAGACATCTACATCTATCTTCGATTAAGAGTCAAGATGCAGATTTGTTGTCACCCGTGAGGACTAAGATGGAATGCCTCGTTTCCAGTAAAAAGGGTCTCCGGTTCTTTACCACTCACCATACGAAACACAGCAGCGTTAAGCTTCTATTTTACGCTGGTATTCTGTGAGAGCGTGGTCCTTCCCCGGCCGAGCCGACCCATTCGTGCTACGACCATAATATAGATGCAGCATGGCTCTACCACGTATAAAAAAATCTATACAAATAAATAAAATTGAAGTGTCTGTTTGTAATGTCAAAATTTGAAAACCAGCTTTTTACTAATTGCATATGAAAGTATATACGGTACTAACAAAAACACAATTTTTAAAATTTTTGTCTGTCTGTCTGTCTGTTTGTTCCGGCTAATCTCCGAAACGGCTAAACCGATTTTGACGGGACTTTCACTGGCGATAGCTGATTTCATAAGAAGTAACTTAGGCTACATATACTTTTATTTTAGAAAAATAATTAGGGTTCCGCGCAAAAACATAAAAAACCTAACACGCGAGCGAAGTCGCGGGGAACAGCTAGTTATTGAATAAAACATATTTTATCTATTTCTACTATCATAATAAGCTTTACATACCTAAGTCAATTTCTGGTTTGCCAAATCATTGTATGATTTATCCGAAAGTGGCCATTCCGTATTCTGAATACGGTATCTGCATGCTGGTTTTTGGTATTCACGTATGAGCCAAATATCCAAGCTGCGCTGTTCATACCATTGCAATAGAGTTCTCGCTAGGTTGTAGCACACAATCGTACAAAAGCTTCTTTTTAGTTTTTATGTATTTTAATTAAACGAATATGAGAGCCGTGTAGCTCGCTGTGAGATTTCATGGCACGGGAGCAAAACGTGTACGATTCCCGCGAGGATCAATAAAACTGTTATAGGAAATTTTATATGCTGGTTTACTACATTGTTCAGTGATGAAGTGGTGAAGAATGACTTTGTGGGGAAACCTAGATGACTGTGTAGTAAAAAAAATTCGTGGACATGTGAAAACTGCTAATATGCATTGGAGCATTGTGGTGAATTCTTTCCTGCCCAAAAAGCACTATATGTAGTGTAGGTAGTGAGGAACCCTGTGCACAGTCGTAACACGAACTATGTAAGCTGCTAATTTACTATTCCACTTTTTATGAGACTTATCCAACAGTTTTTCATTTATTAAGATAGGTTTCATTTACAGACCCGCTTTTGGTAACTGAATACACAAATAAACATGCTCTTGCGACAAGGACTATCAATAATATCAAAGGAAAAAGCAAGTTTACTTTAAAACATATTTTATTTTTTATTTTAACTACCTGTGTTCTGAGTATTTAAGACAAGTAATTGTCAAAGCCGGTAATCGAACCGATTCAAACGTGGATTCCATAGTAAGCAAGCGATTGGACCGAAATTCGATCCTCGCCGACACCACTAAAATTTTTATTGCAGTTTGAAGTATCGATTTACGACGTTCGCGGCGGTGAAGCAAAACTGCGCGATCAAACCTGTATATGTGAGAACTAAAATGGGCTATTATGCAATTTTTATTTCATTCATATTTTCGGAGATGTTACATTTTAATGTACTATAATAGATACCACGAAGATGAGTAGAACTCATCAGCTTCATCGTTACTGCCTATGCCAAATAGGCTGGATATTTACCATACTTGCCACGCTCAGCAGGCGGGTTGGCAACCCCACATTTAATTATTTTGAGCTATTGTCAAGAAAATGTTGCTGCCCATTTCCTATTTCAGTCTCCTTCAGTCGTCTATTACGACGCCCACAGGGTCGATATGAGGTAGTAGATTATCTTTGTCCGCAGCTACTAGGCGAATATATTTCCACTCCCATTCAGGAATGTAGTTCCTCTCACTTTCATCTTGAATATAACTATATTTCTGAAATTCTGAAGTTTACTCTAACGTAAAAAATATTTGCATATATTTTATGGTACCAATGAATATTAATGGGGCCAATGGTATGAATCAAATATCTCAAATAAACATTTTAACACTATAAGCATCATATTCATTTTCAACATTATTTTGTCAAAACTAAATTAACTTTAATTTTGAATAAATGTAAAAAATAAAATGATTCTGATTCCAAGACAATTTTACCCTTCGTAAGGACACAAGACATGCCCGATATAAAAAAATGTTACTAGACGTATGATATTAATGCAATTCTAAACTCGAATAAGTATCATTCAATCATTTCATTCATCTACGTCCAATAGTCTCTGAAAATTAAAGAAAAATCCTGTGACAAACAGACAAGAGACGTAGGACATTGAGGACCTCTACAAATAACACAATTTTTACTGCTTTTGGCTCGTAGCAGTATTGTATAATATGTTACCAAATTGTAGCCCACGCGAACGAAGCCGCGGGTATAAAGCTAGTATTAAATGCATATTTATAATTTAAATAACTGTTAAAACTGTTAATGATTAGTCATTAAAAAGGATCGTTCAGAAATGTAATTAATTTTCTAACATGTCTGGATAACATAGCTCATCAATTAAGACATTATTATTTTATGAAAATAGTGTTATAAAGTTATATATTTGTATGTGCATAATGAAGTATGTAAGTGAATTGAGTATAATTACCTACTTAAAATTGTGGAGTTGGAGTGTATGCGGGTTTTCGGGTATTCACTTCTTCATATCTAATAAATGATAAAAAGACTGCGCCCGTGCATAAATGGGCATTATGGAAATTAGGTGTAAATTATATATATATATATATATATATATATTATTTTCTTTAGTTGTTTTCTTACACAATTTATTAAATATAAATTAGTTTATGCACTAAGTATAGGCATTTGAGGCGCTACCTTACTTATCATTCAAAAATTTGCCGTCTAGTAGACGATCGCATGCCGTGTGGAACTGCAAGTCGATAACGTACATTTGTTTTTGATTAGCGATGCGGACGCCGCCGACAATGACCGGAGTGATGGATGACTCGCGACAATGCTCCTACGGGGACGCGTGTGGGCGGTGTCTTGACAGCCAAAATCTGCACTTTCCTTCGACTTTCTCTCCGAGGTGCGAAAGGTGTTCACTGGGGGCACGCAATGCTTATTCGGTAGCCGGCACCGCATAGGTTTACGCGCTCATATCGTGATTACTGTCTCACCGATCGTGTCTGACTTATTGTGCATCGCGCATTTCCGATATTCAAAGCACCTGCATGATACTTCCGTGTTTATAAAGCTGCGTCGACAAAGTTAAGAGACGATTTGCCGATTTACCGGTGCGGTGTGATGTCAGAGAGCAGCAATGGCGCTCAGAGTTGATATAGCAACTATAGTGTTACTCTTCGTGCTACGAGCCGGCGCGCCAGCAAGTTTTCCTGTAAGTATGTAAGCCAACTAGGGCGGGCGGTTTACGGTCTGAAATATAAGCTTAATAATGTAGCAAAATAAATAGCAAGTACCTAATAATATTTTGCTTTTCGTAATTTATTATTTATAACTATGTCGAAATAACCTTTGCAATGGAATAGGGCGTAACACTCGAAGAATTAGTTATAATAGAAACCATCAAATTAAGTGTTATCAATATGGACATACCCATTACTTACTGTTGTTACGTGCTATTTTGTGTTTCTTTTTTTAATTCTGAAATGAATGTTTTTATTTTTAAGAATTAATAATTTAACATTTCATTTCTTTAAACAACTAACTTATTTTACAAATTAATTAAAAAATGCACAAAAATATTCACTACAATTATTAAAGTTCATACTTCATACATTACTTAATCAGCACAATAAACTATTTCTTCAGTGATTAATTCTCGACGATTCGGTAGCCTAGATATTGGCAGCGGTACTTTGCGCCATGTGTTCGAATACCGCACTAAACAATATTATGCATTTGTAATGCCCATGCCATCAAAAACCTAACTTGTAAAAAAACCAAGTCTCGCAACTCAGTTCTTGACTTGGCAATCGCACTAAACAATCTAATTTAATATAATATTATGTATTATTTGAGAGATACATTGTGTTAACATGCGATGGCCAAGTCAATATATTCATTTAAAATATAAAAGATTTTTAGTATTGATGTGGTCACTATAAGATGTTGTTAGGTTAGCTAATTACGTAATAACTTGAGACAGAAGAATCCTTAAGTAGGGACTGAATAAATTAACCGACTTGGTATTACATAGATCTCACAACTTTTTACGGTAGAAGAACTGGGTTGCGAGACTTGGTTTATTTTACAAGTTATGTTTTTGATGGCATCTCATTTCTTTTGTAGATAGATATATCTAGGTACCTATCTACACCTATTATTCCATTATATTATAAATATATAGGTTGACTGACTCATTCACTGCAAATGTAACTTTGTAATCCTATATATTTATATGGGATTACAAAGTTATTTATGCAGTTGGTGTATCTCGAAAACTAGACCGAAATTGCAAAATATTTTAATTTTTCTTGATTTATATACTAAACACTAATTGAATTTTAAATTTGAAGATTCTACGTCTGCTAGAAGTGCCTTAGAATTTTGATGATCGGTCAGTCAGTGAGTGACAAAATTAAGAAACTTTGACTAGTTATAATTCTTAAACTACTTGTTCAAATTTCATGAAATTTAAAATATAATGAGTTTATACAATGCCTACTTGGTTACTGAATTCAGGCTTCTAGTTTTATCCACAACAAAGTTATAGGGTTTCGAAAATGGCCTGAACTGCTTCGAGAAAAGGATGGTACGGCCGTGCCGCTTATTTGCTCGACTTGGCACTACCGTGCCCCCAGATAAGCAGCGGTTTTGGCTCAAAATGGATAAACATCCAGGTTCTTTTTGGACCTGGATTCCTGTCCATTTGCAATTGATGTATGTAAAATTATTCTAAGATAGACGAAAAATTCCTAGTGTATGTAAGTGTAGCGTAATATCCATATAACCGTTTTTAAAACAATGTTAAATTACTAATGTAAATAGTATTTTTATAAAGTAAAACATTATCTAATTGTCATCGTTTTGTTTTGTTAATATTTTCTTACATTTTCCTTTCACAATGGTTCAATTTATATTTAATTTTTTATTCTAAGTGGCACAATATTAAAATTAATTGACTTAGGTGCATTCAGGCGTAGTGTTCAAGATTTCGGGGTTTTTCTTTTTGCATTTTTTTTAATTAAAATGCTAAATGTCATATAGTTAGAGAGAGATTACTTGTTAATATTTTACTAAAGATAATTCTATTTTGGAACTTCGGCTGATTTTATTTTGGACAACTGCTATATTCGAATGGCAAAAAATATCAATAAAAATTGGTTGCTTCATTCTTTTAGTTATTCCGTGTTTACTAACGATGTATTTTTGATGTCCGAAAAAAGAATATTTTTATATTATTATCATTTGACAGATAAAAATATAGGCGTTGATATCTTGTACCTAATTTAATTTATTGTTTGTTAAACTGGGTTAAAATCTACGATTCAGCACACTAATGGTGCTTGTAAAAACTTTTTAATTCCAATCCAGCCATAAGCTGTCATAAAAAAATATTAAGTACTATTAATTTCTTATTACCGTTCTCATTATTTTGTCACACACATTTTCTTACATGTGCAATGAGACATTAAAATAAGTGAAACAGCCGATGTATTGTCAGTGTGCGTATGAATCATTTTCTGTGTAGTAACGGGAACAAAGAATACAAAGATTTGCTCTTGCGGTAAAATTTCTTTATTTTATTAAATTATGTAATTTTTAACTGTAATACTGTAAATAACAAAGGAATGTAATTTCTCAGTAAAATCATTATTACTGTACAAAAATTTGTGTTTCGGTCATAATTTAAGTAAATTTAATTGTTGTCTTGTGATGCTAACCGTAACAAAAAAGTTACCACTTTTAAACTGACATGAAAGGACAAACGAATTCCTAAATTGAGTTTTTTCTTCTTTATCAACTGTTCCCCGTGACTTGGCCGGCGTGGAATTTATTGCAATTCGATTTCATCGGTTTTAATTTTTTTTGCTCGGAACCATAATTCTTTTCCTAAAATAAAAGTAGCTTATGTTACTACTTATAACATCAACTACCTATCTGCCCGGGAAAGTCCCATCCAAATCGGTTCACAGTGTTAGTTCACACGGTGTTAGTTTTATTATAGTAAATAGATAGATAATCAGTAAGTTATATATAAAATTCTCTATAATTTTATCAAGATTTTCAGTTGTAATTTCTGTAGTCGTAAATCATAGTTAATTAACAAGGCGTTTAATTTTAATTATCAATAAAAATAATATATCTTTGTTTGTTATTAGGTTATAATTTAATCGTTTTATTTCCAAGTGATATTTTATACGACTCGTCCGATATTTTTAATAACTAAAAGGACAGTAATTCTTTTTGTGGGTTAATATCCCATTACGGATAATGTAGAACTAAACGGTATTTTTTATGAGACTATCAAAATTACTTTCACTTAAATCCTGGTTTTTTGTACGCTCGAGTCTGTAATTTTATTTTGGCAATTATATTGCATAATACAATAGAACCGAGTCTTTTCCCGTTCTTGGTCACGTACCGAGTTGCACAAGCGTAAATGTCACGTACTTAAGGTTTTTTTTTCAATCACCTTTCGATGATTCAAGATACGGTCTTTATTGTACCCGTGTCGATACTACGTGACGCCCGACTACACAAAATGGAGATGTATGAGAATAACTTTCATCATCCGGGACACAAAGTGAACTCCGACAGTTGGATTCATAATTTAATGACTTAACTCGTGCGTGGCGTAACTCAACGCAATTGTTTTCGTGAACGAGTAATGTTTGGGAGCCTGTCCTTGTAGTGGCACGAGCACTAATGGTAAAACAAACACTATTAAGTTTTACTTTCCCCTTTACTTTACTCTAGCCCGCTAATGTGGTACCAATACTATAGACTGAGTCACCCGATGTTTCGGTTTCACTCACACTTTATACAAGGTCACTGTCGAGCAAGAAACCTATCAACTTCCATTTCTCAAGATAAGGCTGATAGTTGATACAATTACCTGTCTCAGTTATACATAGTGCCAAGTGATTCATCAATCATCGCTTTTTTCCTATTTATTTCTAAGAATAAAAGAAACTAGTTCCATGAAATTTCTCTGCACTAAAATTTATTTCTGATAATAACTAACCACGCGAACAATGTAACATATTATGGTTGGATGTTTTCGGGCCCGAGTGAATACACATAGTATCTAACTAAAAATATTTTACAGACTTTTATATAATTACATCATTTTATTTTATATAATTACTACAAATAAAAGTAGATATTATACATATAATGTAAATAATAAATAATTACCTTTTTATAATTATAAAAATCATAAACACACGTATCATACATCTTGTCGTGTCGAGAAATAATATTTTAATAAATTATCTAACCTATAAAATTATCTAGCTTATTGACTTTAAAGTTTACATTATTTTTAAATTTGTGAGACCTGTTTTGAAAGTTTCACGAGATTTATGTCCGTATTTCGCATTTATTTACAACCTTCTAAATATTGTGTTTCTGTAAGTACGGTAAATTTTAGGATTCCGTCAGTGTCGTTACTACGTCGTCAAATTTTGCAAATACTGCATTAAGACGTTAGAACTTACAATGCAATGTCAGAGATACGATGTCCCCGTTCACAACACAACCAGATCCGAAAAACAATAGTTTGTGGTTTCGCACAAAAGTTGGTCCGGCTGGAATTTCAAATTGGGACCTGCTCTGTATTATTATTATCATACGAAGTATCATAGTATTATATGCTTACGCAAACATCTTTTTATGTGCTAGCCATGGTGCGGCGTATTACCCGGCACCTGCAGGTCGTATTAGATCGCCTCGAGCGGGAAAGATCACGGCCTTACAGAACATCAATAGCAGTTTAATGCTGCTTGCTGTGTTTCGTAAGATGGATGATCAGAAACGGAGACCCTTTTTATTTTCAGACACTGCACTCATCTGAATTTTTATTTAGATATTTAATCTAGTCTAGAAAAAGAAACATTTAATACGTTTTAAATGTTTGTGGGTCACAATATTAGGTATACTGCGTGTTCGTTTGTCAACATTACATAAAAAAATAGAGTAAGCTATCATTTATTCGTAATCGTAATGCATATAAATCTATCAAGAGCGGTCATAAAATTCAGTGTTGGACATATTGGGGTATACGAAAAGAAAATTTAACCAACCCATAAATGAAAGTTTACATAATACACAATTAAAGTAACAAATAGTGTGGGAATGCGTTGTAGCTACTACAATAATGACGAGTGCGCCCACGTGTGCCACCGATGTCTTTCGTTCTCGACTCGACCCCATTTGACATAGCTTTTAACTTTTATCACTGCTTACCGACTTCTTCTGAAGCGTCCTTGATACCTACATCGATTGTATTGTTCGACGCTTTGATTAGTAATCTCCAGAAAGCCATCAGTTTAGATTTCGATTTCGGCTAGAAATAATATTTGCTTTAGCACGGCCATTAGTTAATTCTCCATATAGTTCCATTGTTTTGAATTTTAATAGCACTAGATTTTGAGTATGTTTTAAAATAAGTTTAATAGTACCTACTATTATTGCCGTTACTGTATAGACATTGAATTTGGACTTTACTACTTTATAAATTGGTATTTTTTGACTGTCTCGTTGGCCTTGTTTATACTGTTATAAGGTCCCGGATCGGGCCAAAATCAGTTGTTGAGTTTTTCTGTCGAGAAGAAATTTTCAGTAGCAATCTGGGGTCAGAAGTTAGCGGTGTTGCATCACGGAGCCTCGGAAAGCATTTAAATCCGTTGGTCCCGCGCCTGATGTCTCTTACGGTCGTGTAGGATTGCTGTCCCACTCATCGGACTATGAGAGTAAGTTACATGCTAGTACTATAACGTTGTCCTGCGCAGATGGCTTGCCTCCGTTGAGACTGGCCGCCGCGCCGTAATATAAATCCGTTGTAATAATAATCGTTCTAGAAAGCATTACTATTATAACTTGGTATAATTAAATATAAGACACCACTTTATGTTTATTATTACTATAAAGCCATTTATTTCCTAAACAAAATTATAAAAATACATTTCATTAATTATTAATTTCATTAAATAATGATTTCTTATATTTAGGCGAACACTACATATTGAATGCCGTGTAGTGGCGGTTAAGAATATCCACTACCCCATATCTTCCTGTGGGTGTCGTAAAAGACGACAAAGGGAAACAGGCAGGAGATGGGCAGCAGCATCTTCCTGACAACAACAAACTTACAATAAAAAAAAACTGCGGTTGCCAACCCACTCGCCAAGCGTGGCAACTATGGCAAATACCCCCCCATGATGACAGTAACAAAGAAACGGCCCCCAGTCCCCGGCAGCCGCGCTATTCCTGGCTACGGTGGCGACCATGGTAACGGCGGGGCAGGGTGCTAAGAATCTCCGGTGGAGGTTCAGTTGCCACCTAAGACGACTCGACCTGGCAACATACAACGCACGCACCCTGAGGACTGACGAGAAGATCGTGGAGCTGGAAGAAAAGATAGACAAGTTACGCTGGCATATTATAGGATTATCCGAAGTCCGAAGATAGGAGGAGGACACGGTAAACCTCGAATCTAGCAACTTGCTCTATCACCGGGAAGGCGACCATCTGTCCCAAGGAGGTGTCGGATTTATCGTCCACAAGTCTCTCGTTAACAACGTTGTAAAGATTGAGAGTGTGTCGACGAGGGTTGCGTACCTTATACTCAGAATAACCAAACGGTATTCGCTGAAGGTCATACAGGTTTACGCATCAACCTCGGCACACCCCGACGAGGAGGTGGAGGAAATGTATGAAGATATCTCTAGAGCCATGCATTTCTCCAAAACCCAATATACGGTGTTAATGGGAGACTTCAATGCAAAACTAGGCATAAGAGAGAACGGTGAGCTGAAAGTACGGAAATTTGGAATAGGGCAACGGAAGGCCAGCAGCTGGCCGACTTCATGGAGAAAGAGGGACTTTTTATGATCAACTATTTCTTCCAGAAGCGGCCCCACAGGAAGTGAACCTGGTCAAGCCCCGACGGTTCCACAAAAATGAGATTGCCTTCATTATGACGACCAGACGACAACTGTTCAGTGATGTCTCCGTGATCGCGAGGGTGAAAACTGGTAGCGATCACCGAATGGTTAGAGGCACACTGAACCTAAACGTTAAGTTGGAGATGTCTCGTCTAATGAAGTCAACGCTCCGTCCCCCTCTTGCTCTGTTCCAAAGTCCCGAAACCTTTCAGCTCGAGTTACAAAACCGTTTTCAGTGCCTAGAAGACTGCAATGAAGTGGACGATATGAATGACAAGCTCGTGGAAACTGTCCATGCGGTCGGAGCTAAGTTCTGCAAGACCCGCCGCAGACGAACACAAAAACTCTCCGATCACACTCTCAATCTCATGGTTGTTAGACGGGAGATGAAGCTACATTCTTTAACAGATTTGACAGCATACAGGCAACTGAACAGACAGATCTCCAAATGCATGCGGCGGGACTTACGCAACTTCAATACAGCTCGTATTGAAGAAGCGATTGAGCAGAACCAAGGCTCCAAAGTCTTTGCCAGAGATCTGTCTACCAGAAAGAGCCAACTGTCAAAGCTGAAGACCCAGTGTAGCAGCATCGTTTCTGGGACACCTGAGATTTTGAGTGAGATTGAGAGGTTCTATGGGCAGCTGTACACGTCATCGTTGGAGCCACACGCAAGTGTGAGTAACGATCCAAGAGCGAGTCTTATCCGACACTATTCCGAAGATATCCCGGACGTCAGTCTGAGCGAGATTAGAATGGCTCTCCAGCACCTTAAAAACGGCAAGCCCCAGGCGAGGATGGAATTACAGCGGAGCTTCTGAAAGCGGGTGGAAGACCGGTACTTGAAGTCCTTCAGAAGCTCTTTAATTCCGTACTCCATGGTGGCACTACTCCGGAAGCGTGGAGCAGAATGCGGTGGTCTTGTTCTTCAAGAAAGGCGACAACGCTCTCTACTACTAACTATAGACCGATTTCCCTTCTGAGCCGCGTCTACGTGCTGTTTTCGAGAGTCATTACGAATCGTCTCGCGCGCAGACTTGACGACTTCCAGAATAAGCCGGTTTCCGAAAGGGCTTTAGCACCATAGACCACATACATACCCTTCGGCAAATTGTACAGAAGTCCGAAGAGTACAATTTGCCACTATGTCTGGCGTATGTGGACTATGAGAAAGTCTTTGATTCCGTCGAAATTTGGGCGGTGCTGCAGTCGCTTCAGCGGTGCCAAGGCGACTGTCGGTATATCAAAGTGATGAAGTGTTTGTACAGTAGGGCTACGAAGGCTATCCGAATACAGAACCAGAGTACGAAACCTATCCAATTGCTGAGAGGTATAAGACAGGGTGACGTTATATCCCCGAAACTCTTCACCGCTGCATTGGAAGACGTTTTCAATCTTCTGGACTGGAAAGGATACGGTATTAACATCAATGGCGAGTACATAACTCACCTTCGATTTGCCGACGATATAGTCCTTATGGCAGAATCGCTGGAGAACCTAAGCACCATGCTTAATGACCTCAAAAGTGTTTCCCAACGAATAGGTCTTAGGATGAACATGGACAAAACAAAGATCATGTTTAATGTACACGTCACACCTATGCCGGTAGTTGTTGGAAGCACTAAGCTCGAAGTTGTTGACGAGTATGTTTACCTGGGACAAATAGTCCGACTACGTAAGTCCAACTTCGACCGAGAGGTCAATCGACGGAATCAATTCGCCTGGGCAGTGTTCGGGAAACTACGACACATCTTCTCGTCAGACATACCTCAAAACCTTAAAACGAAATTGTACAACCAGTGCGTGTTGCCAGTGATGACTTACGGATCTGAGACGTGGTCCTTCACTACTGGCCGTATGAGGAAGCTCAAGGTCGCTCGGCGAGCTATGGAGAGGGCTATGCTCGGGGTTTCTCTGCGTGATAAACTTAGAAATGAATATATCCGCAGTAGAACCAGAGTAACCGATATAGCCCAACGGATTAGTAAGCTGAAGTGGCAGTGGGCCGGCTATATAGCTCGAAGAACCGACAATCGATGGGGAAGAATGGTTCTTGAGTGGCAGCCTCGTAGCGGTAGGCGAAGTGTAGGGCGACCCCCCCACGAGATGGAGTGACGACCTGGTGAGACATGCAGGAAGTCGATGGATGCATGTGGCTCAGGACCGTGCTTTGTGGCATTCCTTGGGGGAGGCCTATGTTCAGCAGTGGACTTATGAAAGGCTGTAATGATGAATGTTGATGAATGATACACAGTGAATAAAACTACTTTTACAGATTTTATCGCGTTTAATTAATTATTTTTCTTATTTTTATTAATTCCCGACGTTTCATGTGCTTTCAATCACCTCAGTGCCCCGTTACCATGGGTGCTGATGATGAAGACAGCTGCGCAAGAGAAACTGAAAGAAGCTCTTTCCATTTCTTTACCTTTTATTTTAAGTGCATGTTCTTTACCTTTTATTGTATAGACATGTATATATACTTAAAGATTGCGAAGATAAAGTGCTAAAAATTGGCTAAATTCAGTTATTAAAGGAAAAATAAACATTCATAAACCTCAAAATATTTTAATTCCAATTAACATGACTAAAACGTCTATCTGATAGTTGTACATACCTGTTAGGCTGTAAAGTTATGTAAAATTCAACTTATTACAAATTTATATATACAATATTAAAAAAGTATAATAAAAAATACTAAAACTAAAAACTTAAATAATCATACAGTCCTACTCCCTGCAGTATCCTGCAAAAAACTCTAGTTGCGTTTCCTCGTTGAATTGCTATTCTTAAAAGAACCAGCCCTTTTATCAATTTATATATAGTATACAAATAACTAACTACTGTAATATACAATTAGCTATTAGACCTATTTGAGGGTTCTTTAATTTTGAGATATTCAAATTATAAAATTTTATGAACCGTTTTTAATGTCTTCTCAAGTAAAATAGGTACATCATTTCAGAATATACTCACGATAGGTACCAAGCACTTTAATAAATATCATTTTATTTTTATTTCTTCATTAATTAATAATTTATTAATTATCATATTATTAAATAGCCAAACACACATGCCTTTTTTAGAAGGGCATTTTAGTTTTCTTAATAATACTTATTTTTTCTTTCAAAATACCCGTTTTATATTGTGATAAGCTGTGAGGTAATTAGCATCTTTGTACAAACCAGGAGATATTGCCCCTGCACGGCTGGTGGGCAGGTGCGCAGGAGGGCGGTGGCAGTGAGGAGGCTCAGGTGGTGTACTTGCCGGCGCTGCTGCCGCGCGCAGCTCAGTCTGCCTCTGATGACGCCGACGATATCCCGTTGCATTACAGCTTCGATGCCTTCGGAAGGTAAGTTAAGAACTAGATTTACTTGTGATTTCTTAATACATTCGTAATACAACTAACTTGACGAAATATTGTTAAATTTATATGGATGTTTTTTTATAACAGATAATTTTTGCTTACAAAACTGAAGGTGACAAATGAACGTACAATCCGTCTGCTGGTTAATGGCTGCTGTGCAGCCCATGGAAACCTACAACGAATTTTATGTTAAAAAATCACTTCCGGGGACTAAGATGGAAAGTTTAATAGCCTGTAATTATACGAACTGCTGATTGGCGGCAGAAAAAGTAACAGACTGAGTACTAGACTGAAAAGGAGCCACATAGTTTATAATTAAATTATATTAAATACTTACCTTTACCTTCGACTTTGTGTAAATTCGTGTGACTGAAACTAAAAAAAGCACCAGATCTGTAATAGTGGCATTTGAGCGAGTAGTTCAATTAACGAAATACAACTTAAAACTTTTTTACTATAATCTTGAAAACTATTTTAGATACGGGAATTTTTTTAAATTAAAAATTGAAAATCAATTGATTTCACAAGAGGCTTAGAGTATTACTCTATGAATGGAAATAATTACTTACATATACAAAAGGTATTGTCACTTTATAAACACTCAAAGTTATTATGTAAAATGATGTTCAAATAAAAAATGTTTATGACTTATGTTCGATAATGATCAGAAACATTTAATCTGATTTGATCAGTTTCTTGATTACTCAAAAAAATTGCGAGTTTTCGGACAAAATATAGCATAGACCACTCCATTATAGCAACTTGTTTAAAAGCTTTTTTGCATTTTAAATTCTACTGATTCTCGGACTTTTTTATTACTATACTAGTGACCCGCTTCGGATTTGCATGGGGTTTATTAATGTGGATTATTTAGATTTAAGATGATCAAAAACCAGTTTTTGGGATACAATATGACCTAGACCACTCCTAGTATTGATCTATCTATCTATCTGTTTGTGAAGCTTCATTACAATCGGTTCAGCCATTCCGTAGAGGCCCGGAAAGACAGACAGACAAAAATTTAAAAAATGTTAATAGTCATGTAAATAACCCCCTCATCTCCATAAATGTCAGCTATTTCGAAATTACAGACAGACACTTCAATTTTATTTATATGTATTACATGTATAAATAGCAGACATATTTAATACTGGCAATAATTGGTAAATTACTGCACGGTCGCTCGGTCTCCGCATATTTATTGAGAGTTATAGAAACCGCAAAATAAGTTTTGTGTTCTCATTCCTAGTTCGATGGAATGTAATATTACGTAACAAGTTTCTGTAATTCAAGTTATATAACTCTCAAAACAATAAGCGCATATACGACACTTTAGACAAATTAGAAGATAGGTTAGATTTTCTTATTTTATACTTGGTTGTATAGTATTTTATTTTGCGCGTTACATAAGGTAGATCTATAGGCCATGCATTTTCCTTAAATTGATACCAAACTGCTTGTATGACGTGAGACTTTCGTTTACTTTCTTTTATACAGTACCCTGAAATATATAGGTACCATAAAATATGTTGGTATTACAATATAGCTTTTTTATTTTAACCTAACATTAAATGTTTTGTCAGTCATCATGTCGAGGAGCATGATAGCCGTGATGTAAGCCTTAAGCCTAAATAATGGACTGTGTTCCCGTATGGTTTTGTTATTTTATTGATATAGATCAGATTGTTATTGTAGTTTTAATTATTCTTAAAATCAATATGGATACAATTCATATTTTCTGCCGACTTCCAAAAAGGAGACGAAAGACATCTGTCGAGTTGGAGGTTGATATTTTTTTTTTACAGAAATGTTACATTATTATAAGCACACACGTAAAGTTTCAACATTCGGAGACACGTACTTTTTGAGAAAAAAAATTGAAAATCAACTATTTTTGCAATATTCATGTCAATTGCTACCGTAAAACTGACGCTATTTTGTATTGTCATTGTCATCGTCAGTAGGGATGACGATTCTTTCCGAAAAAGATCGATTTTTAAATCGATTCGAATCGTAAGCTGATGTATCGATTCACAAAAACAGATTTCTAAAATATCTATATTTTTTCATGTTTGTATTTATTATGTAAATATAAATCCATTTTCTGAAAAACAAGAAAGATAACATAATAAGTTTCCGTATGTTGAAACTTTGCCTGTGTGCTTATAATAATGTATCATTTCTGTAAAAAAAATATCAACCTCCAACTCGACGAACGTCAATGGAAAGCTAAGCCCCAAATATTATCAGAGCTGTGGTAGCTCAGATGGTTAGCGGTCGCTGTAAGTTTCACAGTACGCGAGAAACCCGGGTTCGATCCCACCGACATCAATGAAATTGTTAATTGCAATTTTAAGTGGTAATTTACGACGTGCTCGGCGGTGAAGGAAAACATCGTGAAAAACCTGCATGTCTGACAAATAAGAAAAAAATATATTTCGAAGACATGTGAAGTTCGCCAACACGCATTGGGGCAGCGCGGCGGATCTTACCTTGCCCTGAAACCCTCTCAGAAATGAGAGGAGGCCTGTGCCCAGCAGTGGGACGTATATAGGCTGTAACTTTAACTTTTAACTTTAATATGGTAACTTCACAGTGACCATATCTGATAATAATTGAAGTTTATTTATATTTTATTAAAAATTCCAATTCCAAATATAAATATTCTGATAGATCATAGCCATTAAATCTTGATAATCATTTTATTGAAAATTTGAATTGGAAAACTAATAACGTGGTGCCGATATTTGAAGGTGAGCTTCTCTCCTGTGAGCTACCTCGGCTTTTAAAATTTCATGCGCTGATGTACCATGTGCGTGGCGGTGGAGGAAACCGTCAGGAGATCTACATATTTGAGAAATTATTAACATTCCGTGGACAGAAGATGATGATTGCAAAACGCATTAAGCAAAATGTAGCTTTTCCCTACCAGAAATGAGAGGAGGCCTACGACCATTTCATTAATATTTCACAAGTTATGTGCTACTTAGGCAGGGTTATGTAGAATACGCAGTGGAACCATAATTTAATTGTAAGTTCTCATAACAAGTAAGTTTTTATAATTTTTCATGTTTTAAATTTACGGAACAATTGTTTATAACACCATATCTTATGTCGACTAAAACCTTTGGTTCCATTAGGGACACTGCGCTGTGCTACCTAATCGTAATTTTTTTAAATTTTTATGTGGATATTATTTGATTATTTTTAATTTTGAAGTCTGCTTTTACTTTTTAAGAATAGTTTAATTTTCCGCCCTTTGAGTGGTTTAAGGAATATCACATGTTCAAGATAACAAACTAGAATATAGTCAAAATAGTAACGTTATTAAATTCTTCATTCAAACCGGCAGATAAACAAAGGCGTTATTATACCTGAACATACATATTTATATATTAACAATAAAAACCATTGTTAAGGAACTCCGTTTGCATTTTAGATGTTTATGATGAGATGGGTATTATTGAAGAGCTCTACCATTGTAGAGTTCTACATTTAACAATAGTACGTTTGTATTAAAAATTGTTTTATAATTTCTTAAAGTGACAATTTTAAGTGATTAGTTAATATATAATATGAAAGAAACTGTGGTATGGTATTTTATACACACTTTTAATAAATCACCTATCTGTATTTATAATTTACACCGAGTTTTATTATATTACTCTACATACACCGGTCTACACTGTTTGTTCCTACTACCATTTAACGGACTGTTTTATACATACGTAATAGCAGGTGCAATATTGTAAGTACATAAACACGTTCTGCATTTGTTGTAATGAATAAGAAATTATGATAATTAGTCGAATTGTATTTGACGACGTGACCTGATGACGACGTATTTAATTAAGTCTGGGACAGTTAAAAATTGGGAACAAGTTTATATGAAGTCGTGCGGTATCCGTAGCCACAATTTTAGAATTAGGATAACAAATTATTATTAAGCTATTTTATGGTAATATCTACAAGTCTCTTGATTTAGGGTGAATGTAGATGTCTATGGGCCACAGCATCCACTTACCATCGGGTGGAATGGTTTGCCATCCATAATGTATATAAAAAAGTAGGTATACTGATTTTTGCAGCCAGGATTGAACTTGATGGTAGTTTAATATTTTAAACATTGTGTGGATACAACCTGGGATATCACTTATCTTTATTTATTTAATAACGGCATAGATAATCAAGATCTTAAACGGTGCGTGTCCCTCTTTACTTTGTATGGAAAAACGTCTTAAATTAAGAAACAACAATGTTATAAGAAACATGTAAAAAAAGATCATGGTCATTCAACCCTTCACAAGTTAAGCATTTATCGAATTCCTGCGTCATCACTCCATTTAGTAGAGGCGCTCTACACTTGGCTTACTACTATGAGTCTGCCATTTGATAACCTTTCTTCCCCAACGGTTCTTGGTTTTTCGAACTAAATGGCCGGCCTACTGCCACTTAACCTTACTGATGCGTTGAGTTATGTCGGTTAAACTGGTTCTACTGTGGATATCTTCATTACGAATTACGCTAAGCGACCTTAAGCTTCGTCTCACGGCCAGCAGTAAAGGATCACATCTCGCGTCGATATGTCATTACTGGAAACACGCGCTGGTTGTTTCCTCTTGTGTTAAAGTTAAATACGAGACGAGAATAATCCGTCGATTGACCTCTCTCTCTCTCTCTCTGGTCTCTGGTCTCATGTTTGGCTTACCTTATCGGACGATCTGTCTGTCCTAGGAAGAATCTGTTTAGATTCTTCCATAACTTAACGCATGGTATGTTCACTTTGGTAGCATCACAAATCAAAGGTGAGCTAATTATTATTAATTACTTTGATATCGAAACCATATCCTCTCCAGTTCAGTAGCTTGAAAACCTCTTCCAATGCAACGATGAGAAGTCCTTTCAGCTGTAGTAAACGTTTCTTTTCCTGGTTCCGTATTAGGAAAGCCATCGTAGCTTTACTGTACAAACACTTCAGCACATCA